AGATGGCTTCAGAAAATCACTAGGCTTTTCTAGGGTTTCCTTCTTCTTAATCTGGAAAATGGCACCAAATCCTTCTGTTAGGTCACGGTGTGATGCAAGGGTGGTATAGAGCTGAAGTCAAGACACTTTTTTCAGAAAAAGCCAGAGAGTGAATATCGTAGGCTACATGGGCCACAGTGGAATCTGCTGGATATTCTTTGTTTGTGTTTTACAACCATTTAAACGTGTAAAAGTCTCTCTTAGCTGGGCCCTAGGCTGTAATTTCCCAAGTCCTGGAATAGAATATAAGAATTACACCTGAGGGGCGGTGCCTGTGGCTCAAGGGACTAGGGCCTCGGCCCCATATGCTGGAGGTAGCGGGTTCAAACCCAGTCCTGGCCAAAAGCTGCAAAAAAAAAAAAAAGAAAAAGAAAAAAAAATTACACCTGAAAGAGATTTTTTTTAAAATTAATGAATATACATACTCTTTTCTAACTAGAATTTATTCCATATGATTTCTGAGAGCATGAACATTTTATAAACTTTTACTTCTGAATAGTTAACAGAAAGTGTGAATACTGTTAATTCTATGGAAGAAAATGTAATACTACATCCTAAAAAAAGGATTTATTGTTCATATATATGCTCAGTTATTTCTACGAATTGCTTAAAGCAAGTATTATTAGAAGGCAAACAATAAGAAAATAAGTTAAGCAATTTTTTAGTCCTGTCTTTGTTAATATTTTTCATTATTGATTTTGAAACTTATTAATAATAGCAAACCTCTCATTTGAAAATACTTTCATATGATAGACCAGGAAGCAGGAGAGGCGAAACTGATTTGGTAAATTCCAGCCAATCTCCAAGAGAATAATGATTATAATAAAAGTAATGAGAATGACATAACCTTAGATTAGTATGGAAACAGGTGTTCACAAAGCTCTTTCCATGCTCCAAGGCAATCTTGATTGTCAGTGAAAACTGTTAATGCCACACATTGATTATTTGTTCGTATGTTAGGGCAGTGGTTCTCAATCTTCCTAATGCTGCAGCCCTTTAATACAGTTCCTGTGGGTCGTGACCCACAGGTTGAGAACCACTGTGTTAGGGTGACTGTAGAACTATTTCCCAAGAAAATCCTGGCCCCATGCTTAAGTAAGTGCTCCCTGGTCTCTTAACTACGTGAACGTCTCTTATCCACCACCCTCATTAGACGGCAAGGAAACAGAGGTAGCTCCAAATGATTAGTGACCTTTCTGCTGCTTCAGGCTTTTTAAAAGGCAGAGTGCTAAATAATTGCAAGGTATATTTTATTGTTTATATCATGGGGTTCAAGTCATACTTGTCTTTATTTCAAAGTGCCATTACAATGAGTCCAAATTGTGACAACTAAAGAAAAACCGCTTTGGAAATTTTAAAGATGAGAAATTAGTTTAGAAATTTGACTCTTGCAATAAGCGTTTCTTTCTTTCTTTCTTTTTTTTTTTTTTTTGACAGAGTTTCATTATATCGCCCTCAGAAGAGTCCTGTGGTATCACAGCTCACGGCAACCTCTAACTCCTGGGCTTAAGAAATTGTCTTGCCTTAGCCTCCCAAGTAGCTGGGACTACAGGTGCCTGCCATAGCACCCAGCTATTTTGTTGTTGTTGTTGTTGCAGTTGTCATTGTTATTTAGCAGGCCCTGGCCGGGTTTGAACCTGTCAGTCTCGGTGTCTGTGGCTGGCACCCTAACCACT